TGGCCAAAGGGAAGCAAAAAAACAAACAAAACCAAAAAAAACAAAAAAACAAAAAAAAAACATTTTGGATCTTGATTTCTGCTTTTTGCTCATGGAAGGGATTGGACAATTTCCACCTCTTTCCACCACTTCCATTTGCATTTAACCACATCCCTCATCAACCCCAAGTTCTCCCAGTTCCCAGGAGCAAATCTGCAAGGCTCACTGGATGGTCCAGGAAAAAGAAAGGGCAGGCACAGAAAAAGCCCAGGGACAGAAGGAAAGTTGGGACATAAGCCAGTGAGCTTGGAAGGAAAATCAATCAATCAATTGATCAATATCTATCTATCTATCTATCTATATTTGTAGCTGTAATGGACAATACAAAGAAAATAAGGAATGGCACTCCTTTAGAAGAATATTACACAATCGTAAATTCACAAAGGAAAAGTCAACAAACACATTGTGGTGTATTTGTTCTTCAGAGTCATGCAGCATAATCAATTCAGACAGTGGGACTTGCCCAAAGCCACCAGTAGGTTTCCATACTGTAAACAGGGATTTGAATCTTGGTCTCCCAGTGTCCCAGTCCAGCACTCAAAGAATTACACCACACTGGCTCTATAAATCTGTTGTTGTTATATGCCTTCAAGTTACTGTTTTCTTGGCAACATCCAGAGATTTTTAAAGAAGACTTTCATTTTTAAAAAAAGAAGTCAAATGGTACTCCCAGTAACCATTACTTCTAGGTAGGTTTTCTCTGTTCTTGCAGGATTGTGGCACCAACACTGACTGCTGCACTTACATCAGGGGTAGGCAACCTTTCCCCTTTAAGGGCCGAGGGACTTCAGCTCCCAGAAGCCTCAGCCATGTTGGCCAATAGTCCCATGTTGGCCAATAGCTCCTGGGATTCTGGGAGTTGAAGTCCCTCGGCCCTTAAAGGGAAAGGTTGCCTACCCCTGACTTACATATTACTGCCACATTATTATTACTGTCAAAGACCAGCAGATATTCATCATTCCTCAGCCTCATAGGGCTCCCAAGGTGATGCACAAGTGACAAAAGCATTCTTTTAACACTATTTTAGAAAACAGTTTCAAACCCCCACAATTTAAATATATCCAGAAATAGCAGTGTTGGCCATGTAGCAAAGTACAGTATCATCCAAAATCCACAGAACAGTGATACCTTTATTGGGATAACCAAAATGCACATTATACAGTACATGTTGCAATTAAAATAATTCCAAAAGCCAACTAGACACTACTGATCCATGTGCTACTACTGACCTAAGATCTACAAAAGAAGTCACTCACTTTTGTGGTGTCAAAAGAGGCAAATCCCATCATTTTCATCATTTCAATTTCTTCCTCTGTCTTGCCCTCCAGATCTTCTTCTGGAAATAAGCACATTTTGATTTTGTAAGACTAAGGATCACATGGAAAACTCCTTCACCTGAAACCCAAGTCATCATCTACTGACTTAATAGGAAAGGCAAGATAGAGAATGCCTACAGAATGGTGAAAAAAGGAACTGGAGGAAAAAAAAGATCAATTTAAATGTACTTTGCTGTAAGGCAGGATCCCACACACACTGGCTACATTCTTCCAAATTACTCTATATAATGCAGAACACAAAGTAAAAAGTTGAAATTAACAAATAGCGTCATGGCATAGCCAATTATTATCCAGCCTGTCTAATAAGAGTCCAAAAATAAAGACCGCATCTCAAGAGGCTGAAGGACTCCTACAGATAAGCAAAAACCAAATTAAAATGTGCCGAAGAAACCAGAGACAGTCCCCTCTCCTTCAGCCCAGTTACATCAATGTGTCTTTTAATTTTAACAACCCTTTCCCCACCCCACCATCCATCTACTGACATAAAAGCCTTTGTTCACATGTTTCAGCCTTTGTTAGCACGTATCTTTCTGTCTAGCAGATGGTGTTTCAGCTCCAGAAATTTCTGAAGTTACATTGCAAATACAGGCTCCAGGTAGTGTACAAATGTAATAATGTTTCCATATGATGTAATATTGTGTATTGCTTTCTTATGCATTTATGTTGTCTCCTACAGAAAGAGACGACATGTAAGCATATAACAATACACAATATGACATCAATTTCATATAGCCCCAGAAGACCTTGAGAGCAATACCAGGTAAAGCACAATGGGCTTTCTTTCTTCTGCACAGTTTTACAGATGTCCTGTCAAAGAAAAATTCCTTTGGGGAAAAAAGGCCAATCAAAGCATACTGGACTTGCAATAAAGCGTTTATAAGCATCTTGAGACATGGTCTCTCTTTTTGGAGTGCCTGGAGGATGGTTTGAGGTTTCCAGCATTTGGTTGTGACATACAAGCCTCTGCTGTGTTACCTGTGATCTGACGCTCTTTGCCTTTGGCCTCTTTGTTCTCTTTCTTTTCATCATCTCGCCTTTCTTTCGGCCGGACTGGGGAAGACGAACTGGATCTATGTCGCCGTGGAGATCTAAGATGTTAAAGCAGAGTAGGTTTTACTTTAACAGCAAGACAAAGTGCTCACATATTATGGCTCCAGAATCATTTCTAAAAACTAGTTATGTATATTATCAGAGTATTATAATTCCCGGCCCTGGTTTCTCTTCCTCAGTAATTTTAACCAAAATGAGTGTGTCAGGCCTGCTTGAAACTACGGAGAACTAGTCGGGGCTTGAGACAAAAATATTTTTTTCTGCTTTACTAATATTGATAATTTTCTACTGTTTTTAGACGAAATTGCTTACTCCCCAAATGGCAAAACCAGAGGTTCCTTATAGTACAGGTGTTCTCTATGTCAAACATGATAATTTATGCCAAACCAAGCTACATATAAAGCATTTTATGTTCCTAAAGTAACCATGTTTCTTAATTTGTAAAGGATACTCAGACTGCATTTCAAAAAATTTGGAGGGCGGGGGGAAGAAAAGATAATAACCTTCCCTTCATCTCTTCAAAATTTTACAGCTCTATGCAAGGGACAATGTTTTCCCTTTCTTACTCAGTTGTGGTGTTCCAGCTGCCCCGAAGCCACACTCAGGCCACTAATAGGTCTCAATTCCCATTTTCAAATATCCCAACAACGCCTCTGCAAGAAGTGTGTGTGTGTGTGTGTGTGTGTGTGTGTTGAGAGGCAGACAAAATGGCCAGAACTACCCAAATGTAGGTCTCCCAGGTGATTTGGACTTCCAACTCCCAGAAACCCCAGCCAGCTTGGCCTGCAGTTAGGGATTCTGGGAGCTGAAGTCCAAAACATCTGGAGGAGCAAACTTTGTGAAACACTGATTTAATTGCCAAGACCAGTTGTTGTCTTCTTACTCCACATTTAAGCATGGATGAAGAATTCAGGAGCTTTTCCTTCATCTACTTCTATCAAGAGAAGCATCTGCCAGACAGCGGGGGAAGTCTTTTTCAAATATTTCAAATAAAAGTACAGAGTCGCATTCAGCCATCGTTTCCCCTAAAGAGTGCTAAAGGCGAGAGTGGCGAGCCTGCTTCGTCCTCCCACAGCCTACAAGATTTATTCTGACAAAACAGGTTAACCAGAAACCTGGTGCTGCTATCTGATTGCCACCTCCTCACCTGGATCGCCGCCTGTGTGGGGACCGGGATCGACTTCTCCTCCTGTCTCTTTCCCGAGACCTCGACCGCTCCCGCCGCCTCCTCTCCCGCGAAGCGGATCTGGAACGCCTGCGCTCTTTCACAGAAAGAAGGAATGGATACGCAACAGTTGTAATGCATCTGAGGAAGTAGGTTGAAGTCTTGGAAAGCTCATGCTGGCAACCTCTTTCTTTCTTTCAGTTAGTCTCAAAGGTGCTACCTAACCCAAAGGCCTGAAGCAAAAGTGGTGGAGGGCAGAGGAGACATAGGATTCTGGGAGTTGTAGTGGGAAAAGAAACCTCCCCGCGCTCTGCACAACCCACAACCCAGACTGGCTGTGGCCGATGGGAGCTACAGTCCAAAGCATTGGAGAGAGAAGAACCTGACCCAAAGGCCTTCAGCAAAAGGGGAAGGGGAGGCACAGGATTCTGGGAGTTGTAGTAGCTGTAGGAAGAGAACCCTCCCCAAACCCAGGCCCTGTCTGGCCGTGGCTGATGGGAGCTGCAGTCCAAAGCGTCGAGAGGGGAGGCAAAGGGGGCGACCCTGGATGGGGGATGCGCAGGATTTGAACCCAGGACCCTCCCGCTACTGAGGGGGGCAAATGAAACGGGGAGAGATAGTCACCCCTTCGGGGCGGAGACCTAGAACGACTCCGGCCCATCTCGCCGTTTCCTCCTCTTCCTCCTCCTCGGCTGCCCCAAAGCGCAACTTCCGGCGACGCGGTCCGTCCCTCTTTTAGCTCCGTCTAGGAACACATACCAGCATCCCTCCGTTCCGCACTTCCGGTCTTTCCCTTCCTTTAGGCTCCGGCTGGAAAGGCTCCGCCCCCGCCACCTGGGATTGGCCCACGCTGGCTCCTGCTAGCCAATCCGCGGGAGGGGCGTGGCGAAGAGAAGGACCGCCCCCTCCACGTGGCTTCTAGGAATGTTCTTGCGTTGCATTCCTCAAGGAGAGGCTGGGAGAAGTTACTTTTCTCGGACTACAATACCCACAGCGCCCCAGGTATGCATCCACACTGCAGAATTAATCCAGTTAACTGCCATGGCTGTGCTGGTGCCATGACCCTAATAAAGATGAACTGGACTGGCTCCATGCTATGGAATCCTGGGATTTATAGTTTTGCGACATATTTTGGGGCAGAGCTTGGAGAAAAGTTACTTTTTTTTTTGTTTCTCCAGTGTTCTGCAGAACATACCTTTAAATATTTAAACGTGGAAGCAGAAAACAAGCTTGCTCCATCCTCAACATGTTTGTTGTTGGGCAACTTCAAGCCATTTCTGACTTATGGTGGCCCTAAGGAGACCCTATCCTGGGGTTTTCTGGGTCAGATTTGTCCAGAGGAGGTTTGCCATGGCCTTCCCCTGAGGCTGAGAGAGTGTGACTTGCCCAAGGTCACTCAATAGGTTTCATGGCCAAGCTGAGAATTGAACCCTGGTCTTCAAAGTCATAGTACAAGACTCAAACCATTATGCCAGGCTGCCTCATCCTCAAAATGATATCCCTTCGGATATTTAAACATGGCTATCATATCACCCCTTCGCCTTCTTTTCCTTGGGCTAAACATCTCTGAGGTCCAAAACACACTGCAGAAATCATCCAGTTTGAGACCGCTTTAACGGCCCTGGCTCAGTGCTAAGGAATCCTGGGAACTGTAGTTTGTTGTGGCATCAGAGCCCTCTGACAGAGAAGGCGCAATGTCTCACAAAACCACAGCTCCCAGGATTCCCTGGCAGTGAGCCAAGGCAGTTAAGGCTGTCCCAAACTGTATTATTTCTGCAGTGTGTTTTGGACCTCAGTCTCTTTTCAAAGGGCTTGGGGGTTTCCAGACCTTCTTTCACCATTTTGGTTGCCTCCTCTGGACATGCTCCGAACATGGCTATTGTGCCACCTCTTAACCTCCTTTTCTCCAGGCTCTTTCTGCCTTAAAATGAAACAGATCTAGACCAGGAGTGGGAATCACACTCCCTTCCAGGTGCAAATGGATTCCAACTCCCAGCATCCCTCAACATTCACTAGAATGGATGAGAGTTGCAGTCCAGTGAAGTTTTTACTAATGTTTAGATGGAATCTCTTTTCCTGTAGTTTGCATCCATTGAGGCTCCATTGGGTCCTATTCTCTGGAGCAGCAGAAAAGAAGCTTGCTCCATCCTCAATATGACATCCCTTCAAATATTTAAACAGGGCTCTCATATCACCTCTTAACCTTCTTTCTTCCAGGCGGAACATACCCAGCATCTCCCTAAAAAGTCTCTCCTCATAGGGCTTTATGGTTTCCAGACCCTCCACCATTTTAGTTGCCCTCCTCTGGACACACTCAGTATCCTTTTTGGTGCCCAAAACTGGACGCAGGATTATTCCAGGTGTGGCCTGACCAAAGCAGAAGAGAGTGGCACTAAGACTTCCCTTGACCTAAGCACTATACCTCCATTGATGTAGCCTAGAATTGCATTGGCCTTTTTAATTGTGTTGTTGCAAAATGCCTCGAGTTCAATTCATGGAAGAAACATGGGATATATAATAAAAGAATAAAAGTGTGTGGATAGCACACAGAGTTCCCATCAGTAGTGGCTGGTGGCCTCCATAGTCTGTGGCTTGGCAAATTCACTCCAGGTTTGGGGGTGCACTTGAAAGGTACTGAATGAATCTGCTTTGGAAACAGAAGTTCAGCACCTAGGAGAGCGCACCTTCCAAGTCCAGGTTCAAATCTGGAGTGGATTTTCTGCCTCTTCGATGGAGGAGCAGCCATCTGCCCTTGGTTCCCAGGATTGCAACAAAGAGGTGAACTAGCCCTGGCCATTGAAATATAGAGAGGAACCATGGAGCCTACTCCAGATGTTGTTGGTTCCATCATTCCTTATTGTTGGCTATTCCTGCTATGGCTGTTGGGAGCTGCAGTCCAAAATCATCCAGAAGGCCGCACAATTTGGATTCCTGCATTAAATAACTATGTAGGGGAACCTGATGAGAACGAACAGTAGTGTCACCCCATTCTTATCAATGCTTCTTCTTGTTGTTGTTGCTGTTGTTGTGTGCCTTCAAGTCGTTTCCAATTTATGGCTACCCTAACATGACCCTATCATGGGGTTTTCTTGGCAAGATTTGATCAGAGGAGGAGCTTTTTCTTTGTTTACCAACCTTCATACTCTTCCTTTCCTTTCCTTTCCTTTCCTTTCCTTTCCTTTCCTTTCC